CCGTTGGTCTGTGGGTCCCTGCCATCCAGACCTTGAAAGCACAGTCTGGTGGGCTTTGTTCCAGTTGTCTCCACCAAACTCATGGCCAAAATCCCTTTCTGGTCATCAGAGTCAAGCTGGCCTTTCTATAAAGGCGGGGTGACAATGACACCTCTCACTGCTGCAGTCAACTTCTTCCATCTCAGGGATGAAGGATGACCCAGGACAACCCAGCAAAGGTCTCCTCTGCACCCAGAGGCGGCTCCAGCTCCAACTGGCTGCAGTGAAGGCACGCACCAGGGTGAGCTGCTCCTGATTCACTCCTGACACACTGCCTGCAGGGCCAGGCTGGGCTGGCAGGGATCAGGCAGACTGAATCAGCAGCTTTGGCAGAACCTCCTGTATCGTGTTGAACTATTTTCGCTGCCTCTATGGGGTCCTTGGAAAGTACCAGACCCCAGTGTGCATTGGCATCACCTTCACCAACCCAGCACCTTTGGAAACACCTGAATGAACCTTTGGTACCTGACTCTAAACTCTTCAGACCAGTAGGACTGTGAGTAACCCCTCTTTCACCGCACTACTCCTGCACTGAGCAAGTCCTGCCATTGCACCATCCCCCAGTTTCCCTAGCTGCAAGTGTGCTATTGCCCTTCCGGGGAACCTGCCCTCACATTTATTAGTAAGGCACTGTCAATGTGTCAATGTCTTTACCTCACAGTTAGTAGCATTCATAAAGAAATCCCAGTGAAAATCTTCCAGAGCATGGTTTTGGAGCATAAGAGCAAAACACCAGCTAGGAGCTGGTTATCATTCATCCCCCAGCAGGCAGATGGAAGCTCTGCCCAGGGGACAGATGTTGGCTCCAGCAAATGGGGTCAGGGCAGAACGATCCCCCAGCAGCTGACCCAGCACATGGACTGCATCTGGGAAGCTGGGATGAGCTGGAGAAAAGTGGGGACATGGGGAGCAGCACTCCAACAGCCACACATCTCCCCTTACCTTCTTAGTCCAAAAATTTTAGGAATAACGCCTTAATTCAGAGAAATCGAGAGCATTCCCCCCCTCTCCTCTGCCCTGCCAAGTACAGAGCATCCCACACTTCGACCTTTGCCACCTCCCAGGGAGGGGACATCCACAAACCCAAAAGCCAAGGATATGGGAACAATGCTCCCAGCCCAGCTTGCTCCCCTCCAGCCAGCATCGCAGCGGCTGTGGCTTTTTCTGTGACCTGATTTTCTGGCTGCCAGCAGACGTCTCACAGTGCTGCTGCAGCAGCTGTGCACTCCCAGAGAGTCTAATCCTGACATCCCATCGCCGAGGGAAGAGCCCCAGCCTGTGACTTAGCATGCACTTGGCTGAACGTTACTCCGTGGATCACAAAGTCATGCTGAAAAGTGGCTCCATTGGGTGTTTGCAGGAGCTAAGATTGATACAACCTGATGGAAAATCTCTGCCTGTTTCCAGGGCTCTGATCATTTTGGTGGCAATGGGATCAGGCTCCTGGTCCAGCACCACAGCTCCTCTGTGCCTCCTGGCTCTGAGCAGAGCATGATGTGAAACACCAAGATTTAGCATCCTCATGCTGAGCTGATCAGGGAGTGTTGGTAAATACAGCTTGGAAACAGCTTCAGTTCTCCAGCAAACCCTTCCAGGCTGTGATCTCTGGCCGTTCCTCTTTGCTCTTGGTTCCCATCTACCTGCTCCCTGCGGGTCACCCTCATCTGCCAAAAATAAAGGCATCAAGGGCAGAACAAAAGGGCTCTGAGCAGGAGGTGGCTGCAAAGAGCTGCTGGTCCCCAAAACTCCTCTGGTTTACAAAAACAGGATTCCTTAGAAATGCAGCCTGCTTCGTAAGGCTGGTCTGCATCATTTTGTCAGCTAACAGAGGTGAAAGATGCCTCAACGAGCTCCTGTGAACGTGAGCTCCCCAAAGCTCCCTGAGCTCCCGCTGAATCGCCTGAATGCTTTGAAACCTGTCCTGCAAATTTAAAAATAAGCCTCAGACAAACTGTGGCTTTGTTTATTCACTTGGTTGGATGGGCAGAATCACTCACCATTGCCCTCACACAACATTTGCTGCCTTGTCCAAGCTGCTGGGAGCCATCTCCGGTCACCCTTGCCTTCCTGGGGACATTCCCTGTGGGTCAGATCACCTCGTATGCAGCATGCACTTCATTTTCTTCATTTCAACCTTTTGTTCTGGATCAAAATCCTTCAGACGGCCCAAAATCTTGCTTCTGAGGTTTGGTGCCTCCCCCTTTCCATGGGGATCATCTCCAGAGGACCAGGAGCCATGGAGATTGGGGCCACCACACATCCCAACCGCATCCCACATCTCTCCTTCTCCATGCTGGCCTTGCTGCTGCCTCTCAGAGCCTAAATATCCATAGAGTCTTCCCAACACTCGCTGCTGGGAGCACTGGAAATGCTTTCCATACCCCCTAGGTGCTTTTATTCTCTTATTCCTGGGAATTTAGGCCAATGCATTGTCCTGTCCCAGTGACCCCTCACCCTACCGCAGTGCAGTGCCCCCCACCATCCCACCAAGTCCTCGCCTGAAACCTCAGTGAAGGAAACCTCAGCCCTGTGCCCCAGCTGGACGAGGGTGATGAGCCTTCCTGTGACCCAACCCCAGCTGGCCCCAGGCCTGTGGCTCTTGGCAGGCCCAAAGAGAAGGGGAAAGAGCACTGCAATCGCAGCAGGAGCCCAGAAAGCGTAGAGCCAAGCTGAGGAAGCATTGCACTGCTGCCTCCATCCAGGAGGTTACCTGCAATCCTCCTCAATGGTGGAATCTGTGGTCCAGGGCTGAGGGATGCTCCTGTGCTCTTAAATCTCCTAAGGCTCAGGGCATTGCTGGAACAGCACAGAGTGCCAGTGCTGTCCCCAGGGCCACCCACAGACCCTGTTTCACCCACTGTGTGCCTCAGCCTCCCCTTTCTGCTCCTGCCTCCCATTACTGAGCAATTTCCAGCCCAGTTTGATCCAATTTCCACATCTCTGCAGCGTCATATATTTGCTCAGAACCTTCAGAAATGGGAAATGCAGCTTGGCCAGGTGAGCTGCTCCTCAGGGTGCCATGGGGTCTGGTGGGCTGGGGGACACCCACCAACCCAGTGTTAGGGTCTGGGTAAGAAGAGGGGGGTGATCTCTCATGTGCAAGATTTCCAGCAAATTTCCCCTGGTTTTCTTCTACTAGTGTGTATTTCAAAGCAGACTAAGGGAGAGAAATCCTAAAGAAGCCCAAGGATGGGGTGAGGCTGTGTTCTGGCATCCAGCATCCCTTGTTGAGGAGGCTGTGGTTCCTATACTAAAGGAACTGCATCCCCATGAAAACATCCCTCCGGCACCGTCCCTCCTGCATCCTGCATCCCGCCACAGGGATGCTGGGGGCCGGTTCCTGCCTGGCTCCTTCCCCTCCCTTTGAACTCGTTTCATCTTCCCTAAGCACATCAGGGAGGGGGAAGTGGGGTCTGGGCTGGGGGGACCCCGCTGCGCCCAGCGAGGGGAGATGGAATGCAGGGGTGCTGCTGGGCGGGGAGGAAGGATACGAGGGGGAGATGGGAGCTTTTCATCCAGCACAAAGGCACTGAGCCTATTTTAGGTGGCTTCCAGCTGTTTGGAGCAGCTCCCTTTGGGAAGTTTGGGGGGTGTGGTACCTTCTGCTCCGTCTGAATGATGCTTTTGGCTTTGCATATCCTTCAGTCAACTGCTCCCAGCCAAAAGCCCCATTGCCTTCAGCCCCCAGGTAGCCAGCACATGGCATGGGCATGGAAACTCTCATGCATGCCTTCAGAAATCCCAAACACAGGACTTGCAGGGCACCCTGGAGCAGTGACAGCACTGCTGGGGCTGCACAGCACCACCTCTGCAAACTGCATGCAGGCATGGGACGTCCGTCCCCACAGAGTCCCCTTGGCCCAGCTTCCCCCATCAGTTCCATCCATGGGATGTGGCCACAGAGCCCCAAATGCAAAGGTGAGATGGGCTAAGAGGGCATGTCAGCACCAGAAAGATGTTTCACTATCATTTTATTATTATTATTGGCATCCAGTAACAGGTTGGGGGAAATTTGGAGCATTTTAGATTCAGGAATTATTTTTCAGTGGTATTTTCTACCATTTGTGATCTCTGATGTGCCTAGGGCACAAAATCACCCACAGCCAATGTCAGCTGCTGGGAATTTGGGATAAGGGTGGACGACAGAGTGAGAAGGTTGGCACCACTAAGTGCAAAGTTATTCAATACTAAAAAAGATCTGAACAGGCAGAGCAAAATCTCACTGTGCTCAGACCAGGATGGACCAAATACAAAGTTAATACACCATGAGAAAAACCCACCCAAACTACACACGGCACAGAAAACTCTGCCTTAATGCTCTCAGGGTCCTGGTCAGGGCAGAAATCGTCCCCCAAAGCCCAACTGATGCTCAGAGGGAACGAGGGAGGAGAGAGGCTGCATTTGATGGGAGAAGCAGAGACACGAGCTCAGCGGCGCTGCTAAGTATAGACCTGCAGTCCTCCCACAGCTGAACCTGTCCCCAGCACACAGAGGATGCAGAAGAACCAAAAAAGCACCAAAAGCTGTGAGAGGGCTCTGGAATGCTGTTGGGATGGAGAATGGGGATTTTTCAGGCTTGAAAAAAATACATATACACAAATTGCGCAATGGGGAACTGCCTGAGAAGCCATGTGTGGTGGGGAGGGAGTGCACAGGGACTGTTTTCACTCTGTGCAATCCCTACCCACAGGTCCCTGAGGCTGTCAGTACCCTCCACCTTCACCACAGGAAACCTGGGCTGAGGACAGAGCTGTTGTCCCCTTCCAGATACAGAGTGGAGCACAGTGACCCCCCCGAGCAAAGCAATCAGAGGCTGTGGGACCCCCCCTTACCCAGCCTGCTCCGATTCCTGCTGCAGCCAAACCTTCCTGCTGGTGCTGCTGCTTCTCAAAGAGTTTGGGACATCTCTGTTCCCTCTGAACCCCCCCAGTGCCCACCCCAGACCCACTCCTCACACTGTCCTACCTGACCGGGATCTTCACCCGCAGGTACCGATCCACGGCGATGGCCAGGAGTGCCAGGATGGAGCTCTCGGTGAGGATGAGGACGGGACACGCCATCATGAGGCAGCTGTAGAACTCCGTTTGCGGTCCGATATTGATGATGATGGCTAAAGGGATGACCAGAGCACCCACAGCCACATCGGCCACCGCCAGCGAGACGATGAAGCAGAAAGTGGCATCCCGCAGCGCCTGGTTCATCTTCACAGCCCAGATGACCAGGATATTCCCCGGCACCGACACCAAGGCGATCAGCACTTCGATGGAGATGTAAGCAGCCTGAAAAGCCGACACGGACTGTGCCATGATGCTGCGCTCCCCTCTGCGCTCCCTCTGTTACCTGTAAACGCAGAGGGAGGCGGTCACAAACTGCACTGCGAGCCGAGATGGAGCCGGGACGGAACCTGGGCGGGGGGGGAGGGTGGAAAAAAAAATATCCCACTGCCTGTGCCGGCCCCCCCGGACCTCGTCCTGCCCCGTCCCCCCCGCAGCGCGTCCGTCCATCGCAACGCACCGCGGGGAGCGGAGCTCCGTGACCCACCGCGCCGGGATGGGGGGAGCGGCGGGGGGAGCCGTGAGCCGCCGTTCTGCTGTCCGTAGCTCCGAAGGACGCCTCACCTTGTCCGGCTCCAGGAGGTCGGGCCGGCGGTGTCCCCGAGTCTGAGGCGTTCAGCCGGCGGGCAGAGAGGGGGGCATGCTGCGGGACGGGGAGCTGCGGGACGGGGAGCTGCGGGACGGGGAGCTGCGGGACGGGGAGCTGCGCTCGGCCCCGGTGCCCGGCACCGCGCTGCTCCCGCAGGCAGCTCGTAGCTGAGGACGGAGCATCACATGGTGCGGCGCTCCCGCGGTCCTTTAAAGAGCGACCGACCCGATTTGGAGCTGCGCAGCCGAGCGGGGGCGAAGCGGGCGGTGCCGGTTGGGGTTGCTCGCTCCGCAGCCAACCCCGGGCTCCAAAAGCCTCACGTTTCGCTTTCAGCTCCAAAACCGGCTTCAGAGCCCCGTTGCAAGGGAAGGAGTCGAGAGGAAGGAGACAACGCAGCGAGCGCGGAGCACCCGGTACCGGACACGAAGCAGCCGCCGCTCGGTGCCCCGGGCCGGGACACCCCGGAGGAGTGGAACCGGCGATGCTCAAATCGCTCCCGGGATCGGGCGGCCTCCCAAAAATCAGTGCCGGGGCGGGGCTGAGCCCTCGGAGCAGCACTGTGGGTGCCGGGGCTGCACCCCGTGCCCAGCAGTGGGGAGGGCTGGGGAAGAGGAGGGGGCTCATTCCTATCCCCAGCGAAGTGTGTGGAAAAACGGTTTCCCCATGCTGGGGCTGGTTCAGGTGCTGGTTAAGAGTGTGGGAGAAGTTTGGGGTAAAATGGTCAAACCCCACATTTCTGCCCTGGGCTGGGAAGTGGTGCTCGCTGTGGTGGAGCTGAACCAGCCAAGCCCAAAGCACCGCAGCCCAGCCCTCAGCCCAGCCACTACGGGCATGCAGCACCCATGGGTGGTTTCCACATCCCTAAGTGGGAGCCAGGCACCTCCAGGGCTCACCCTGCACATCTCCTTGGGTTGGGATGGGCTTATCCGAGCTCCACAGGTCTGGGAGCAGCTGTGACTTCAGGGCTGGGACAAGGGGACACTCCCCAGCCCTGTCCAAACCTCTCCACATCCTTTCCTCTGGTGGGAGTGGGGCTGGATTTGTCCCCTCTTCTGCTCTGCTCTATGCAGTAAGAGGTGTCCTACTGCCTGAATCTGTCCCTTGGCACCTTCTCCATCCAAACCTGTGCACCCTAAGGCAGGGATGGAGACATCAGCAGTGACATTCCATTCCCAGTGCTACCACTGGTGGTGGCCCGTGGGCTTCTCCCTCACCTCCACAGCTGAGCAGGGGGCGCAGGGTTGGGGTCAAGCATCCAGGGGACATCTGGGGGCTGTGGTGCAATGTCAGCTGTGACAACTTTGTGCCAACAGCAGGGCAAGGAGAGCTTATACGGGTTTAAAAGATCCGTTCTCTCTGCAGGGAGAAAAACAAATCAGGGATGGTGCATTCATGTAAACACTGTGCTATTTATGGGAGGTGTTCAGGCTGTGTCTCACTGCGCATCCCTTCTCACACATCCTCTGCAGGAAGCCGTTATCCCTCTTTGGGCTCAGCCAGAAGCTGGAGGCACAGCAGGGCAGGGCTGCCAGACACAGCGAGCTCCATTTGGGTCCCTGTGCACATGGATATGGGTGCCAAACTGCAGCTCTGCAGTGTTCCTCCAGTTATTTTGTCTGGCACCAGCTCTGCATGGTGCTGGAGTGGGAAAAGCATCTGAACCCCTCACCAAGTGATGTCCTGTGGGAAGGGTCCCTGCAGGCAGCTTCTGGCTGGGAGCAGAGCAGGAAAACCATCGGGTTCATCACAGGGGTGAAAGGCGGAAGTGAAGGCAGGCAGGTCCCAGCTGAACTGCATGCAAATCCCTCCAACACAGCCATCAAAACCACTCCTTTTCCTAAAGTGAATTCGCTGTTTGCTCTCCTTCCCCAGACTCACACCCCAGCATACCTAATCTTAGCAGCACTCCTTATTTAAAAAAAAAACAATACAAAAACCCCCAAAAAAACAGCACACCCAAATTGTGCCAAAACTGAGCTGCATGTCTGGGAGTCTGCCAATGGGGATGAGTTCCCCCATCAGCCTGAGTAGAATTTCTCAAGGCTTTGGCAAAGGCTGCAAATATTGACCGAGTAAATGTGGCTGCTGGCTGCTGCAGGGCGTGCAGACATTGCTGCTGGTGGCGTGAGCTGCCTGCCCTGCGCAAACCAGGCTGGGCCTCGTGTTGGAGGTTCCTTTAAAAAGCACAAAATGGGATTTTGTGGTGAACATCGGGCTCCCAGCAGGCTGCTCAAGGTCTTCCAGGCTCTTGCTGTGGGGTTTGGAAGGAGAAAATGGGCTGAGCTGCAGAATGGCCGGGAGAGGACGTTCACTGTGGGCAAACAGAAGGGGAGATGGAGGGCTGGGAGGTGAGGCTTACGGGATAGGAGCAAACCTGGGCTGACAGGGAGGGTTCGTGTGATGCAGCAGCATGTTGGAGCCAGCCCTGGGGACTGGGGCTGCACCCAGAGCTCAGCTCCTGCCAAGAAATGCACATCCAAGAAAGTGAATCAGGGTGTGGGGTGCTCCTCTCCCACAGCTTCCATGTGGGAACACCTCCTGCCTCAGTTTCCCTACAAGAAGAACAGCTCCGAGCTGCCATGGCTGAGATGGAGATGGTTTCTCTGCCTCTTCAACCACAGGGGCCATTCTGGAACACTTCTGCTCACAGAAAGAGGCCTATTCATTAGGAAAGTTAATTAGAAGCGTGGCTGATGCCAGCGCTGGGTGGGCTGAGGTCTCTGTGGGGCATTAATTAGGATGAGTGACGCCCCGAGCAGCACAGTCCGGTGGTCTGAGACAAAATGGGCTGAGCAGAAACGGGCAGCAAAACAAAGGGGAGACCTGGAGCTCCTCCAAGGATGCAGCACCACGATGCTGCTGAGTGATGCTGGGTGACACACACAGCCCGGCCGGGACGTTGCTGGGTGCTCCGTGCCTCATCCCCTGCTGTTCTGCCCTTTATAGGGTGCACAGCCCCTGGGCACTGAGCCGGGTGCGTTTGGGGATGTGCAGCAGATGCTCAGCAGCTGTGACACAGCTCAGAGAGAATTCCTGGGAGACGATCCCAAATATGAAGTCTTTTCATTTTTGTTTGGGATCTTGAGTGGATAGGTCATGTGCTGGCCGCATTTTAAAGCTTTTTTAATTTTTTGTTCTTGACACTGCAAAGGCTTGGTTTTTTTTGTTTTTTTTTTTCCTAAAGGAGCCACATTTACCATCAAGTGGTGGGACTCCCAGATTTTGCCATCAAGCACAGAACAGAGGGCTGGCTGTGCACTGACCTGCCCACCAACAGCCCCGCAGCTGTCTGCAGCTGTTGGCTGCGCTGCAGAGCCCGAGCTGTGGGTGTGATCCACAAGGGATGCATCCCCACTCCCCTTCTCCAACAGTGTGCCACGTCCATGGGATGGATGTGATGCGCCCGACCTGCCAGCTGTTGTTTGCAGGCAGCTGGGACCAACCCGGCCCCATCTGAACCCCACAAATTGGCATCCAAATCCCCCCTCACACTCCACAGCAATGCTGATGTGCTCAGGTCCCAATCGCTTGGTGCTGAGAGGATGTTCATGGGGTGTTGGGTTGTTTTTTTTTTGCTCTTCCTGAAGCTGGCAGGAGAAAGTGCTGAGACATCACCTGGGCAAAGGGAAAACAAATCCCAAAGTGCCCGAACCCACTGCACTCCTTACCAGCACCACCCTTGGCACAGCACTGGGGTAGAGCAGAGGTCCGTTTGCTCGCTGTCTCTGCCCACCTCCCCCCCCCACCCCCAACCCGGGCCCTTCCCCTCCTCACATCATTATCTCCCTTCCACTTTTAGGACCTATTTTAATCCCTCGGGAACCCGGTGAGTGTTATCGAGCCCGGCTGCTGGCCAAGAGCTATTCCTATTCCCATCCCTTCCAGCAGCCTCAGCAGCACAGACGGCTTGAGAGTGGGTTAAACATTTCCACTGCCATCCATCAGACCTTTGTCTTCTGTGGCCACCCCCTAAACACACCCGGTGCTATGAGATGAGCTCTTCTTTTTATGAGAAGCCGCCCATGTCGGGGCAGGATGGTGCTTGCCAGGGGAGGAGCAGGGAGTGTGAGTGCTCATAGGAATGCAGCAGCAATGACACATCCTTCTGGGGCAAACATTGGGGTGAAACCACAAATTCCTGGAGACAGGGAGAGAAAAAAAAGAGATGAGGGAGGAAAGAGGAGGTGAAGAAATGATGGCAGTGGAGGGAAGTGGCACTATTTAGTGCCACATGGAGGTGTCCCTTCACATTGGGACATCCTGGAATGGGTGTCCCATCCCCAGTAGGACAGGAAGACCACGTCCTCATGGCTGCTGCTCCTGGAGTTCGCGTTTCTCACTTTAGAAATATGTATTTCTATTTTAATATTCCCCTGATTCCGCTTCCAGCTGTCCCTTATGTCTTTCCCAGCTGGACGGCTCTGGGTTTTGGCAGCACGGCTTTTCTCCTGCTCAGATCATCACCCCATCGCCACCCCCAGCACAGGAGCTCCTCTGCCCAGAGCTCAGAGGTGATGCTGACAGCCGTGAGCCCTGAGCCAGAGCTGCTGCCTCTGCCTTCTTTCCCCCGAGCCTCCCCAAGCTGAGAGGTTTCTTGGCACTGTGCTATTTCCAGAAATGAAATCGGGACAGCAGCTCATTGGCCAGCTCCCCCGTGTTGCAGGAAAGGCTG